GAGCCAGCCCTGCTCTTGTTTGTGAGCCAGCCCTGCTCTTGTTTGTGAGCCAGCCCTGCTCTTGTTTGCGAGCCAGCCCTGCTCTTGTTTGTGAGCCTGCCCTGCTCTTGTTTGTGAGCCTGCCCCATCCCAACACTTGGGATTCCAGGACCTGGATCAGGACGGTGATGCCAAATCACTTTAAGCGCTGCCTCACCAGCGAAGTGCTGCTTATTCTACATAGACAACATACCTGGGCTGAGCCCAAATTAAGCTGAGTTTGTTCCTCAGCTCATCCCACTGAAAAAAAAACCCAACAGTGTTTTTCCTGATTATTATGATTCCTAGGTCATGCTATTTAGCCTCAAAAGAAGAACATGAGTCAACCCCCACGCCACAGCAAACACCCTCTCGCATGCTGTGGCCACTCTCAGTCCAGTGTGGGCAGCTGATGATCTTCATTAGACACCTCCTAATTAGGAGGGGCCCCAGAAGGTTAAGGTGGCGCCACTGGCTGCTCCCCTGGCAGGGATGGGGCTCAGAGACCTCCACAGTGTCACCTGACTAAGGCCAGGGCCAGCTGTGCAGCCAGCTGTGCACTCCTGGGGGGCCCAAATTTTGATGTGTGAGAAGCTGGGGTGCACGGGGTGCTCGGATGCCGTGGGCTGTGTTTCCAGCCTGCTCACTGTCCAGGGATCACGCCCAGGCAAGCTCCAGTTGTGCCCGGTGTAAACCTGAACTCTAACTGACTTCACCTTCTTGGATCTTAACCCGAGGAGAAAACATCTGGGCCTGATGTGATTTTATTAAGTGCTGATTTCATCAGCGGAGAGGAAAAAAAAGCCAAGAAAAAAAAAAAAAGGAGGAGACTTGCCGGCCAGTTGGATCAGCTCCCTGTAAACCCCTGAGCAGCACAGGGGGACAGGCAACTTGGAGAGTGGCAGCTGCGGGTTTGAGGTGGCCTTTGGTCCCCTCACACTGGCAAGAGATGCTCAGTGGGGCTTGGAAACTCATTGATTGCCTGGGAGAAAAAGCAGAAAAAACTGATGGAGCAGGCAGAGAAAAGCAAAACCACCAATTGCCCTTCTTTCCCAGGAAAATACCAACCCCCCTAGGGCAAACCCTAATGGAACCATGGGGAGAGGTGTCACAACTGTGTCTGTCCTCAGCAGAGCCAAAAGGCTGACACTGCAGCGTCCCCAGGCCATGTGGCTCATGGCACGTGTGGCCTCTGAGGGGCCTGAGGACCCGGCAGCGATGCCACTGGGCTGAGAACGGCTCTTTCAGTGCACGTGTGACGGAGCTTTCGCGTTGCTTAATTACCATCCCTCTGTGCTGGAGAGCTGGAGCACTCAAAATACATTTTCAAGCAAAAAATCCCACAAGCTCTGACACTCACAGGGGCTTATTGCAACGGCAAGTTGGTTTGGGGAATTTTTTTTCCCCCTTTCTTCCCTTTTTGTTTGCCCCCTCCCCCATCCCCTCCTGCCTGTTCTTTCAGCTGACCATAGTTTTTCCAGGACAAATTTAGGTCTGGGCCATGTCCCACTCATGTTTGGAAAGTCTGAGCAGCCTTGGCTGTGCTGCTGGGAGCGAGGAGAGAGGGCACATGGCCCATGGCAGTTTTAAACTTAAAATAAAGAAAGCCAAATGCCAAAGAAAACCCCAGAGCTCGCTGAGATTTGGGATTGAGGGGTGGGCAGGAAGGCGAGAGGGAGATCCCCTGGGTTTGCCTCAGCCAAAGAACTGTTTAAATGGAGCTGAGCTCCTCTGGGAGGAGCCTGGAAGGCTCACCTCGCCTTTTTCTTCTCCGACAGAGAAGGGGCCGCTGCTTTTCCCTGTGCCACGAGCCCCTTCGGCACCGCGCTGCGGTGAAGGGTTGTGCCAGCACGGACACGCGTCCCCCGCTGTCCTGTGACGGGACAAATCCCGCCTGAAACGGGCTCTTTTTGAGTTCGGCAGACGCAGAGCTTGGGTTTTTCCACGGGTGACCCCCCAGCCCCCCAGCACAGCGATACCGTTCACCCGGGGGGTGGATTGGGAAGAGGCTGAACATATTTTGGAGGAATGCTGCTGGTCCGCCGGGCTGCTGGGGAGGTGAGGAGGTGGCTGGGACACGGTCCGTAATTACCTATGCAAGGAGCAGCCGGCAAAGGCTGAAGGGCTTTTTAATTAGCAGCCAAAGGCAAAGCAGGATCCAACAGCAGGGAAGCTGAAGTCAGCAAAGTCAAGGTGGAAATCTGAGGGCAGCTTTTCCAGCGAGGGTAATTAAGTGCCGGCAGAGCGCAGCGTGGGGCGTGAGGAATTGCCGTCATTCAAGGACCTTAAATCAAGGAGAGGAGTTTCCCCTGCAGGCGCTGGCGCTCCCTCCATCCCTGCTTTGGCACTGCTCCCCGCCCGGCCTCGGGCAGGACAGAGCGGCTGCCCCCAGGGTGGTGAGCCTGGGCACCCGCATCGCGGTGCAGGAGCATCCCTACTCGCCTCTAACATGCCAGGCAGGGGATTTAGAGGGGAAAAGGGATGTTTTCCCTCTTGACCTGAAAGCAGCCTGGCTGTCCTAATCGTGCCACCTGCAGTATCTTTTGACATGTGCCCTTTTGGCACGACGGGTTTCTCTGCCCGGGATTCAGCCTGATTTTTTGCCTGCACAGAGCTGGCATCTCGGGACACGGCACAGCCCGTGCTCCCACCCTGCCAGGGGAAAGTTGGGACCATTTGCTCAGTTTGGGCTGGAGCAGGGCTCCTTGGCTATCCCATATCCCAAGCTCCCAACACCCTCATCAGCAAGTGAGAGGTTGGGATTTAAGCCAAACCCACCATCTCACTGCACAATAATTTAAAAATAAAGGATCAGGGTGCTAGGCCGAGGTGGATGTGCTAATGAGAGGTTATCCTCCGGGAGCTGAAGGTTTGGGATGGGGACAGCAGCAAAAAAATCCCCATTTGGGGCTGGTTGGAAAGCGGCTCCGGCTCATACCAATTCTTTGACGTGGTCTTTCCTTTCCCAAAAATAAACAGGAACTGTCTGGAAAGCCCCTGTGCGGAGAGGAGCAGAATGGTCCAGAATAAATAAATACAGGGAGAGCCCGGCTTGAGTTCATCCAGCCGGTCGTTCCCCACTGCCAGGGGTGGTGAAGGATGAGCCTGAAACATCTTGGTGGGGGTGAGAGCACACGGGGCTCTTTCTCCAATTAATAGGATTTTGGGGAAAATGCTGAAATTGCCTCCTTAATCATGTCCCTCTTGCAGCATGGCTTTCCATTCTCCCCAAAATACCCCCCCGCACCATCAACCTCTTGACTGAGTTTAGTCACACAGTTTAAGGGAAGGAAAAAGCCCTTTTTTGGATTTATTTACAGCGCAAAACGGGAAGAATTTTCACATTTCTGCTTTTAGGGTCGGGTTTTTAGTGGCCCCAGTACTTTTGCCGTGGTTGGCCCCCCATCTGCCCTACTCAAACCCTGGCAAAGTGCCACCGTGGCCTCACCCAGGCTCCCCCAAATCATCCCACCAGCACGGGAATAACGGCACGGCAGGGGCACACAGACAATCTCCGTGCTCATAAATGTTATTAAGATGATGAATTAAATATGAACTTTGTTTCAGGCATAACTTCCGAATCACCCAGAGACCCCGACGCGCTTGTGTTGCGTAAACGCTCGGCGTGTTCCTCAACGCGACCGTTCGGCTCCCGTGGGCAAAAGCGTCGGGATGGGAAAGGGAGCGAGTGTTTCTCCGGTTTGGAAAGCGGGGACGCCCCTCCTCTGCCTTTTTTGGGAGTGTACTTACCTTTTTTCAGCTGCCTGAGTTCATGCTCCGGGGTGCTGGGGCATTTCCTGCCAGGGAAGCATCGTCTCTATGCCCGCTGGCTCTGGCTCATCAGGCTTTCATGTCCTGACGGTGCTGTTTGGTGACTGACAGCTGTCAGGACATGGCTGAAAGAAGCCCATTGGTTCTTTAATTTACTCTCACCATCTTCAGTTCGAAATGAAAAATAATAATAATAAAAAAAAAATCTCTAAAATGGAGAAAGAATTAAAAATCTACGTTTCTGCCCTGAAGTTTTTGGCTATATTGCCTCTGACCCCGACTGCTTGGGGCTGTCTCACGCTTGGCTTTGACCTCACTGCAATACCTGCTGCCTGCTGAACCGTGGAAGGCTGAGCAGCTCCATCCCCCTGGCTGGGGCTGGAAAATATGAGCCATAAGATAACTCACCTCACCTGTGGGGACCTCTCCCTGATGCAGCAGGGGTGGTAAAGGCTCCTTCCCTGCTCCAAAACGGTCACGGGATTCTCCAGGCCACCAAAACCTTTTTCTCCTGCAATTTAAAAGCCTTTTGAAATTTCATGCAAGAAAAGAAACTGTTGCCACCGAGGGCACAGAGCAGCAATTGCTGTGCAGACACCCAGCCCAGCTGCTGCTGCTGCTGCCAACAGGTTCATCTCGGCACAGGTTGATGGCTTGGCTCTGCTTCCCCGAAAAAATTGGAAGAGAAATGGGATTCAACCCCATTGCTGCTGCTGCAAAACATAAGGAGTGGTTTTTTTCCCCGCAGGAGGGAAGATATTGGAGTTGACCAGCAGCTTCAGCAGGACCTGTGGTGGAGTGAGCTGTGGTTTGAAGCTTTAGGGCAGCAGCAACCCTGAGCCTTCAGCCCCACCCAGGGTGACACCCTGGGGTCCTTCACACCCAGGGGACACTTGGGTATCAGCGAGGGGGGGTTCCATGGCTGGCAGGACTGTTCTGCACAGGGAGGTGAGACCCACCTTTCCTCTGCACCCCTGGGAAGGGCAGCTTTCCATGTGCTGTTTTGGCATTATTTTGCCTGTTGTTCCCTCCCCCCTCCAAAGCTCCTGGTTTCCAGTCCAAGGGACCATCCCTTGGATTTGTTTGCTTGTTTTTTTTCCCCAAAACCCTCAGGTCTGCCCCAGGAAAAGGTGGTTCTCAGAGGCACCATCACCGCAGGGCTGGCCAAAAGTGACATTCCTGGAGAATAAATAACGGCTGAGTCAGTGGTTTCTGAAAGTTTTATTAAATGACAGTGAAAAAGGAGCAGTAACAAACTATCTCTTGTGGGTAACAATAACAAACCATCTCGGTTCAGTTCAATTCCCTGAATGAGGGACAGCACCAAGTGCCTGGATCTCAGCTCGCCTGTAAACGAGGAGACAAAGGTTCTAAAGCCTTTGCAGATGCAGAGGCTTGAAGACCCTGGGGAGGAAGAGGCTTGTGCTCAGCTCAAACCCTGCCTTTAGGATGAAAGCTGCAGTGACCTTCACTTGCTTCGCTGGTGCTTCCTGAGCTCGGAAACCCCACCATGGTCACCTCCAGAACAGCCTCCTGGTCTCCTTTCCTGGTCTATTCCCATGAAACTGGGATTTTCTCTTTGCAGGGCTTGCTGTCTCTAGCTGCTGTGGAGTGGCTTGGCGTACACGGGCTCCATGAGGTGGTAAATCAGGAGCAGGAACAGGCACCCCAGGAAGACCAGGCTCATCACAGCCAGGAGGACGAAGCGACCGATGAAGAAGGAGTCCACGATCTGGAGGGAACACAAGCACAGAGATCTCAGCACATGTCACAGCCCCAGTCTGCTCCTGGAGCCTGGAGGGAGCACGCCACAGCCTGGAAAAGAGAACCTCTGGGGCTCCCCCAGATTTCTCCCCTTGCTTCTCATCCCTGGCATGGGATGAGTGACAGGAATCTCTGCAAAATGCTACTTGTGGGGATGTTAATGTGGAGCAGCACAGTACCGAGCACGGGGAAGAGACACAAACCAAGCCCTGGAGCAGCTCTCCCCACTCACAAACCTCCAGCCCTGATTCCCTTTCAGAAGGGAAATAGTGGGAAAAGAAGAAAAAAATTTAAAAAAGAAGCTACAGCAGCAAGGCTAGACACAAAGAGAAGCCAACAGCGAGGAGGCTGGTTACAAAATCCCCCTCTCTGCTCCCGAGACCCCCCAGAGCTTTGCTCAGCCCCGGCTCAGCTTTATCCATCACATTAGCACATGCTCAGCCCCGGTGCTGCTGCAGAGACAGTCTCTGGTGAGCGAAGTGCTGGCTCCTTCTGCACGTTTCACTTTTTAATTAGCCAATTAGCAGAGTTTTGGTGCAGAAAGCCCAGGTCATGTATTATTGATAGGCAGGGCAGGTCCAGTCCAATTGAAGATCCATGAAAAAAAAAAAAAAAAGCTTTCCAATTGCGTTCGCCTCCCAGGCACAAACACGTGCTGGGCTGCCCTTCATCTCGCTCCCAACCTTCACACAGGCAGGTCACATGCAACACAGAGAGAAGAAAAGAACCTTACAAGTATCTTTTAGTAGGGATTTACACAGATCAAAATCCAGAAAAGCAATAATTAACGCGCATTAATAATAGAACAGAGGAAACGGCACCTGAAAGGCCACAAAACTTTGTGTGTTCAGAGCCCAAAGAGCTCTGGGAGAGCTCAAGGAGGCAGCTCAGGCAGCCTGATGGAACCCCAGGTTGGGGGAGATCCTGTGCCTGAAAACACAGATGGCTCCATGCTTGAGCACAGCAATAACCTACAAAGAGAGCTGAAGAGCAGTTACTGGGCTTAAACAGAAAACAGAGCTGGGGGAAAGCGAAAGGCTGCAAAATCAGAAGGAAAATTATAAGGAAAGGGGGCGGCAGAGGGGGAGCAGGAGCTGCTGGAGCTGGGAGGGCCCAAAGCAGGGGTGTGATGGCTGTGCAGAGCCCCTGGGAGCCAAATCCCAGAGGTCAGGGTGGAACAGCACATAAATCAGGGATTTAGTCAGAGAAACTGAGAGACAGCGGCCCCAGGAGCCACACAGCCCGTGCCAGCCAGAGACTGTGCCAGAGGAGGAGACCAAAAAGGCAGCCCAGGGCCATTCCCGGGGCCTCGGGGCACCCTTGCAGCCCATCCCTGGGATAAAGAACCATTCCCAGGGCTTCAGGACGGCCCCATCCTTGGGGAAATGACACATCTGGGGCCATTCCCAAGGTAAAGGCCCATCCCCGGGGCCGCAGGGCAGCAGTCAGGGATGTGCAGCAGGTAAAGGCACATCCCCAGGGTCCGTCCACGGAGCCTCAGGGCACCCCCGGAGCCCATCCCTAGGATAAAGGCACATCTCCAGGATCCACCCCTCGAGCCTCAGGGCATCCCCGGAGCCATCCCTGGGACAAAGGTACATCTCCAGGGTCCATTTCTATAGGCTCAGGGCATCCCCGGAGCCCATCCCTGGGACAAAGGCACATCTCCAGGATCCATTTCTAGAGGCTCAGGGCATCCCCGGAGCCCATCCCTGGGGCAAAGGCACATCTCCAGGATCCATCCCTCGAGTTTCAGGGCATCCCCGGAGCCCATCCCTGGGACAAAGGCACATCTCCAGGGTCCATCCCTCGAGTTTCAGGGCACCCCCGGAGCCCATCCCTGGGGCAAAGGCACATCCCCCGGGGTACCGCCCCCCGCCCCCGGGCCCGCCTGGCCGCTCAGGCCCGGGCTCACCTCCTCGGCGCTGGCCGGGGCCGGGCTCTCGCCCTCGCGGGGGAAGAGCAGCAGCGCGGCCGTGAGCGCGGCGGCTCCGAGCACCACGGGCAGCGCGGCGACCCTGCGGGGAGAGCGGAGAACGGCGGGGCGGGCTCAGCACCGTGCGGGCCCGGCCCCCCTCCCCATCCCCGCGGCTCACCGGGGCCGTCCCGCCCCGTCCCCGCGGCTCACCGGGCGCGGCCGGCGCGGGCCAGCGCCATCCCGAGCAGCAGCGCCATGGCCCAGAGCAGCAGCAGCGCCAGCACCCCCGGCCCCACGCCCAGCGCGCCCGCCATGCCGCGCCGCCACTTCTGCCTAGCAACCGCGCCGCCCCGGCCAATCAGCGCCGCCCGACGCGCACCCCGCGCTGTCTATTGGCTGAGGGGCGAGGCGCGGGGCGTGACCGCGGCTTTCCCCGCCCCGCCTGACGCGCGTTCGGCGCTTCCCATTGGCTGAGGGGCGGGGCGAGGGGCGGGGCCGGCGCCTTTCCCGTGCTGCCGGAGGCGGGGTCGCGCCACGGCCGGTCCCGATCCCGATCCCAATCCCGATCCCGATCCCAATCCCACTCTCAGTGGGAGTCCTATTGAAACAAGTCCCTGTTGAACCCTGGCCCTCCTTGGCGTCATGGAACGCCCAGAACTACCCGCTTCAGCCGCCCCCCGTCCCGCGGCTGTGGCCCCCACCCGGATCTCGGAGCTGCTCCCGCTGGAACTGGAATTCCTCTCCTCTCCCAGTGCAGGCGGGTCAGTGCTTGGTTACCCAACTCGTGCCCACCTCGCTGCGGGAAGCGCCTCTGAACACGCTTTCGCCCCCAAACCCTAGAAATTCAGCTGTCCACGCCCTCAAAATATTTAGGACCAAAATCAGGCAGATTTGGTTAATA